GAGCGCACCCCCCTTTCCTTGTTGGGCCTTGGCCATGTCTTTCTCCTGGTCTGCTCTCCGACTTTGGCTGAATCCCAGCGCCTAACCAACTGACAAACTCCATGTGTCTTCCTTGGACCTTGCCTAGTGTAATGTTTCCCGCGACTGGGCCTCCCGTTAGGGCTTTCTAAACTCAAGTTTCTCACTTTGTTTCTGACAGTAACACCGCAGCGTAATGAGGGGTAGGGAAAGATTTCTCTGAAGGTTCCACGGCCTCTTTCTGTCAGATTCATGGCAGTCCTTGATTGAACAACGAACCCGACTCGCCAACTCCTGCTTTGCGGGTCCGTTGGAGTCGCTGACTCTCTTCAAAGACTCTAGGCACACAAACGTCTCCGGTCCTCTGCGGCCCCTCCCATCCCAGGCTCAGACTCAAAGGATCCAAGTCCAGCTGTGCAGGCGCAGTGTCATCGTGGAGGATTGCGGCGTCTGTGGGGACACAGCGCCTTGCTACGTGGGCCTCCGCAGATGGACCGAAGGGAATGGCAAGCCTGACATGGCACTGACTGCCAGCACGTGTGAGTGACATCTCATCTTTCCGGCTGATGTTTAACGTTTTCATCTCGTCTCCTGTAGGGATGATATTTGGTATATAATCCCCCAGTCCCATCTTCTTCTGGGATGGCCTTGTTCTGATCACCACCACCATCCTTACACTCCCTCTTCAACTCTTCTTCTTTCCCCAGTCATTCTCTCGGCCAGCTTTGAAAGCTCCCAGATCAGGCATCACTCTTTTTGAACGCTCAACCAGCAGCTTCACTCCTTCGCAAGCCCAAACTTCCTGTCCCTCGACGTGAAAGTCCATACCACCTTCAGCCTCGAATCTTTGACAGTCGTCCACCTGGCCGCCATATAAACTACAAAATCCTTTTCGGAAAGAAACCCACATATCACCTTCAACTTCAGTCAAGATGTTCTCTACCACTTTGACCACCTTCCTTGCCGTCTCGGCTACCTTGGTCTCGGCCGCTACCATCCCGATCCGGGACGCCGGCAAGTCCGGTTCATACAGCATGACGCCCCACGACTCCTACTCTTCTTCCATTGGTGTCCTCGGCTGCAAGATCGACACCAACCGCGTTGCCTACTGGCCCAACCCTCTTAGCTGCAACGACATCTGTCTTAAGGTCTCCAACGGTGACCGCAGCGTTCACCTCCTCCGCATCGACCAATCTGGCGGTGCTTTCGACATCTCCTACGACGCCTGGAACTACCTCACCACCGGCAAGTCTGCCACTGAGGACCCGACCATTGGCGGCGGTGTTCTCATGAACTGGGAGGCCGTCGATGCCAGCGAGTGCAGCCACCTTCTCAAGGACGGCAAGTTCCCTCTCTCTGCTGCCAACAGCATGAACTACCTTACCTCCTGCCTCGCCGAGCCCGATAGCTTCGTCGCCAAGAACTACGCTCTTTACAACATCCAGAACCCTGCTTGCACCTGGGGTGTCGATGAGGTCTGCACCCTCAACCTGGCTGTCAGCAACCAGGCTGCCTGCCCTAGTGGCCTCGGCTCCGTCAAGACTTTGACCACCCTGCCTGTTACCAACATTGGATACGGCACTGGCAAGACCGCCGTCGCTGTTCAGTGAACGCGCACAATAAGCACAGGTTGCTCAGAGATACCATGATACGATGCATACGAATGTTTATGATACATGTACATATATTATAGAAAGGGACCAGACAGAAAATTGGAGTCGAACATCATTAAAAATATTTCAAAATGGCGTGAATTCGCGCAGCTCATTGTGACTGAAACACATGGTGCCGGAGGACCTCAGCTAAAGCCAAAGAGCTCCGCCATTGGCTAGATAGATCCCATGCAGGGACCAATACTCCATAGAATCATCGACAGGAGGAGATACTGAGTCGTTCTCGCTCATTTAAAAGGCCGATGATCAAAGCTTCAGCGACTCCGCCGCCCTACTGCGGATATACATAGTACAGAGGTAAGCTATGGCCATCTTCGTATTGCTAGCAGATCTCGTCAGAACTAGTTTGGGTCAAGAATATGTCGGCGACTTGTACTGAAAGGCCCAAACAGGCAAACACGGCCATAGCCGTGGCCCTTGCCATTGTCTCAGCCACATTGGTTGTTTGAAACGACCGCTGCGGGCCTGCGGCGGTGCCCGATTTTTTTTTATTGCGGTGTTCTTCAACTCAAGGGTATTGACTCGAGTTGGTGATCCGTAGATCTCCCTGCCGAGGTTCCGTGCTGAACAACGGACTACATCCGTTACTGGCGCGGCAGTGCCATAGGTATGTGGCGCCCATCATCTGTCTCCGTACTCCGTACTTTCATAACAGCATCATTATCGAAAACCAGAAGTGAGCCTAAGCAATGAGTGAATATGCCTTTTACAAGAGCGGGCAGAGAGTGCAGAAATTCATGAGCCTAGATGTTCCTAGCTCATTGGCCCTACCTGGATGGGGAAATGAGAAAACGACCCTGTGCACTTGAGCACTCCTCACCATACCGGCATCGTTTTTAATTCTGTGGTCTACTAGTTTGCGGTATTGTTACAGATCGAGGTCTAACATAGACGTTGACATCGGCAACTTTATTTAGTGGATTCCAACGGCGGGCCACGTCTTCGTTTAGTCATGTGAAAGCATGCTGAAGCGACAATGACACTATTTGTTGGAATGTTTATGATTTTATCATACTTGGGAGAAACCAGAACTGGGCTTAGTTTGTTGGCAATGACATGGCTCCTCAGTAACTAGACTAAATTGATTGACCGTTAACGTGCAGTTAGCACACGGCCAAACTGTCAGCCGAACCGCTAGGGAAGGGACTGAGGCTCTTATATTGTCCTTGTGAACAATATTGTACTTTCCATTGGAGATCAAGCCAAAAATGGTCATCTTCTACTAATTCTGCTCATCCTACCGGACCATTAGTTGTCACCTAGATACATCCAAAGCATTAAGCCAATGACTTATTGTGGCTTAATGGAAATAGATCTTGACAGGGCTACTTGGAATGAATGCATTTCTATCCACCGTGGAACAATGGCCCGAAAGACGCTACCTTCGTAGGGAGGTCTAGTGTAAGTTGCAAATAGAAATCGCTACACCAACGAACGAGGTCTATTCCCAATCACCATCTTTAAGCTACATGGATGACTCGTTTCCTTGCCGAAGTCGATGTCGATGATAGGTAAAACCCGGCTAGTCTTCTAAGCCTTTTCCTTCTTGAAAATTTTCAGCCAGACTAAAACTGACGAGTTTCAATCAAGGTACCTAACCTGAAGGGAAGCACCACTTGCATTGTCACAACTGGTGTCGCTGAGACCTAATGATCCTGATCTGCCACCGCGTAGACAGACCTCACGAAGACGACGTAGAGGAGCTGGACCTATGACATCTACATTTTAGAAGAAGATTTTGTGTCCAGAATTATATGAGACACGGATTGCTGGAGGAAAATCGAGGCAAGGACACTGGGACATGGAATAGTCCGTTCGTCCGCCGAAAAACGGAGGAATGGCCCGTTCCCGCGAAAGCGAGCATTGACATTGACTACGCTAGAGTCACACAATGGCACGTCAGCATTCCCATCGCCTGCTCTACTCTTAGCTTCTGTATGATTTCTGAGAATGACGAAATCTTGATTGGTCTGATGTACCAGAGCCTGGTCCATTGAAATCGGCCCAAACCCATCCGCTAGACTAAACGGAAGAAACCCAGATACATATGCTTCCCACAACCGCCAATGACGAATGCTAGATTGACAAGCTGGCTATGCCGTTCGATTACGGGAAGTGGGGAAACCAGTATACATCTTCGGAGTGTTGCAAGCGGCCGTAGGGAGGGTTCGTCTTAGAAGCAGGACGTAACTCCACATCTGCCAAAGACTAGACTATGTTCAAATTATACGGCAGCAAAGGAGAATCTAGAATACTCCGTTAGCCGACCGTACAGTAAATGCCGACTGACTGTACTACCTTGCGGTTTCACATCCACCTGCCGGACTACGGTGAACATTAAACCCCGCTAGCCGCCAACGACAGCCATCCGTCATCCCACTCAGTTTCATTATAAAGGGATGTAAGATTCCCTATTCAGCATATTTCTTTACAGATCTAGCGTCACATTCAAATTCCCATATAACAGCGGTAAGAAAGCTCCAATCAACTCCGCAGACACATAGGCTCATACGTGGCGTTTGATAGCAACCTTCAACGACAACATCAACATCGCAACGACACAATGCTTAACTCAAGCTTTTCACACCGTAGAGCTCTAATCGAGGACGACCCAAAGCCCAAAGATGTCCGAACTGTCACGCTACTCAAATCTCAACATGGGGCCCTGGCCAGGAAGGCTGCGGGAACTACTCATCAATCACGCTCAAGCTGGCCGAGTTTCCAATGGTGGCTCATGGCTATTCCGTCATTCATTATTTCAGCTTACGGCGCTGCATTCTTCACCGGAAATACCCCAGGCGATCCACAAATCAAGGCGAGAATCATAGGTTCACTCGGGGGCGTAATTCACATTGGGGGTTCTCTCATGGCCATGGGACTCGGCCCTTTTCAGTTCCTGCCGCAGCTACGACAGAGATACATTCAGATTCATCGCTGGTTGGGATGGGTCTATGTCCTTGCCGTGACGACTGGTGGCATTGCTGCGTTCTACGTCACATTCAACAGCGAGGCGTTGGCATGGGGCAAGGTTGGCTTTGGCCTTCTCGCCTTGGGATGGCTCGAGAGCGCTAGGCGTAGCATTGTTGCCGTCCGGTCGAATGGAGATATCAAGAGTCATCAAGCTTGGATGACGAGAAACTTTGCTCTGACCTATGCCGCGGTGATGCTGCGGTGGCAGTTGCCTCTGATGATCGCCGCGGGTATGGAAGTCAAGTTTGCGCTGTCCATCACTGGATACATTTCTTGGATACCGAATCTTTGGTTTGTCGAACGCTTTGTGTTAAACCAGAGCTGAGCATAGTCCAAGTCATGGTGGTTAGGAGACCCCAGCTTTGGATTCGTCACATCTCTTGCTTGTGTCAGACTTGGACGTGCAAGTCTTTTGTCGAATCACAGGCATTCGGCAATCCATCAATCACTGTAGCCAATAGGGTCTGCGGCGTAATTCCACGGCTTCAGCAAGCAGATACTAGACTGATGGGGCAGCGGTGTTTACTTACAGAGCGGATTTTTGCAAAGCCGGGCAGCGGTTGAAAGGTTTCGGGAGGCAGGGCTAGTTCACAACTTGACACAACCCATATTAAATACCAGATTGTATGTTTTTATTTTACGAAATTTGTCTAAGCAACCGGTTCTACCTTCTTGACGACCTTGGCCGGAACACCAACTGCAACTGAGTAATCGGGAATATCTCTATTCACAAGCGCGCCGGCACCAATGGTGCAGCCTTTGCCGATGTTGATTCCCGGCAACACTGTGACGTTCGCTCCAATCCAGCAGTCATCGCCAATGGTGATGGGCTCTGCATACTCGATGTTGTCTCTCCTAGACTGCAAGGCAGTCTCGTGAGTTGCTGTGATGAGGCTGACTCCTGTGGCGAAGAAGACATTGTCTCCAATGGTCACATGAGCACAGTCAAGAATGACGCAGCTTTACAGGTTCTTGGTCAGTTTTGTCTGTTTCAAAGGGGGAATGGGGCGACTCATAGGAATATCACATACTTGAAATTGGCGTAGAAGCGATCTCCGACCGTGATATTGCAGCCGTAATCAACCTGCAAGCTGGGCTCGACGTAGACATCTTTTCCAATCCCGCCGAAAAGCTCTTTGATCATGCCCACTCTCTTGTTGGCAACGTCGTCTGCAGATTCGTCGTCTCCTGGAACGTAGGTGTTGAATTTCTGAGCCAGTCGACGGGCACGGTGTCTCGAAGCTACTAGCTCAGGCGCCATGCAGCTGTAAAGCATGCCAGAGACCATCTTCTCATAGTCTTCGCACCAGGGCACATGCTCGAGAGTCTTGGCAAAGGCAATAGCCTTATCGTCCTTTTGCGTACGGATTGGTGGCACCATCTTGGCTATTGTATAGTTGACTGTCGATTGAGAGGCTCAAGGTGAGATGTGACGTTGGAATATCGACGTCAAAATTTGGGATCTCACCACCTTAAATTGGCCTACCAAGGTGATGGAAGCGGTGACTCCGCCCGCCTTTTCAAGTACGAAAGCGAGGTACAGCGCATGACGCTAAGTCTTTTAGCTGGGGAAACTTCCATATTTGGTAAACATCCCAACAGGTCGCGGAAGACTCCGCAAGCGCATTTAAACTATGGAGTGCGGGGTTGAAGCATCATGAACTTCAGACGACTTCTTCAATTCTGCGAGAAAGGCAGCGAAAGATGTTAGAGCTTCAGCTTTTCAAAAGTGAAGTTGAGGACAGAGTGCCTTTTGAAAGAATGATGTGGCTTTAGGGTGACGATTCCTAGCCGATCCATGAAATGTGGCATTAGAACCGCTGACCAAACGTCATCTGACGGATCCTGTGCCGCAAGCCAAGTCGCTGAGACCGATTGCCAGGCGCCTAAGGCTTCACACCATGAGCGAATGAGCAAACAACAAGGACTCTAGCGATCCCGGCGACTCTCGCGGGACCTATGAGGTGTGTGAGAGACCTGGAAGACCCTGCGCCACGTTTATCCAGCCCTGCTAGGCAAAAGCGTTGGCCAAAGATCAGCGACATCAAGCCACGAGATGGTATCTTGGCTTGCTACATTAGGAAAACTGAAGTCGTTTCCCTTTACCCCCTTCGAGCTTCAAGTAGCTCTCATGATGCACAAGGCAGAGCAGCTGAACCCTGCGGCTTTCCGAGTCTGGGCAAAGGAAATATTTATGCTTATTGCTTCCCTGTTTGTAAGCGCAGTTAGATCCCCACAGCAGCGGAGCAAGAACCAGCATCATCAATGAGCAAGACCGAGCAAGATAGCTTTGCATCTTTCTTATATAAATACGATACAGACAACATCCTTTGCACCGACTCTGAAATGTATGAACTTGTTTCCCTCGTCGACAAACGCATCGATCGGCACAACCAGAAATCACACAACATGATGAGCACCGGCTGCGACGCAACGCCCACGCCGTCCGGCTCGCCCTGCGAAGTCCTCCGCCAGGTGGAACGACTGGGTGGTGCCCAAACAATGATAGACCGGGTCGATCTCGCAACCGGTTCTACAACACCATTCTACGTCCTTCACAGCAACAAGGAAAACAAAACCGTTGCCGTGTTACATGCAGATCCCCGCGCGCAAGCATCGGGTGAAGCGTTGGGTATAGCGAGATACCATTCCCTGTCCTCAAAAATCGACGTCATTCTCCGCGGCGTGCCGATCAAGATGAAGACCAACGCTATGGGTAACACACACAGGTTCGACCACCATGGTATAAGTTACAGTTGGGGTGTCTCCAATTTGAGCATGTCAATGAACACGATGTATCTGAAGGATGCCGGGGGCAACCTGCTGGCGACATGGAAAAGGTACCCTGAAGGCAGGTTAAGCGGCATGATTGGACAGTCAGCCCCGACATTTGAGGTTTACGTCCCGCCACAGAGCATCGATATGGACATGGTGATTGTCACAGGGTCTGCAGCGGTCGAGTATTGGCTGAAGTATAAGAAAGACTCCTACGCAGCGGTAGGAGAGGCCTTCGGTGCAGTTTGATACATCTTAAGAAACTCATAGCGGACTGTATGTTGGAGTGTATTCGTTGGCCTAGTATTCGAAGGGGAGAGCGAATATCGGTTGGGAGCCTCTGTGGCGATGGCGCTGTTCTGATAGAATATCTTCATGTTTGAACAATGTACTTAAGATTTCCATTTTCTAGTGTATGAAGGTTGAAGCATCAGGGCAACTGAGGTGACCGACAGCAACCAAGAGATGATGTATCATATGACGGTGCCACGGGTATGAAGTTGTACTGATAGATTGCCCATGATGATCCATTTTGCCTATGTTTCCAGGAACGACGCAACGGCAAAAGGAATGAATGGTCTTTAGCGGCACCTCTTCAAGGTAAATCCACCCCAAGAGCAGGATTCGGAGCCGTTAGTCTTGTGTTGTAAAGTTCCCTATGGAATGGTCCAGGGCGGCCATGCTTCACTATCGAAAAGGTGAGCAAAAATTGTCTGTAGTAGTAGGTTACTCTCTCATGGCTCTTCCGTTGCTTTGATAAGACTCAAGACAGTGATGACAAAGAAAGTTGCGTTGCAATGACTCAAGCCTCAACTTCACAACGTCTTTATGTTTAACATTTCCAATAACAAAACCGAGAAGTCGAAGAATCGAGGTCACAGAAAACCAGCCAGCGATAGTAATGGTATCTTTGTACTCTGACGCCTTCTGTACTGTCAGTTTTCCTTCAACATGGGCTAGCAGGTGAATCCTGGGGCCGGTGGGAGGAAGCCTCTTGCCCGGACACCTTATTGAGAGACAGTACTGATGAGACCCATCTTGTCTCTCCCAGGGAATTTTTAAACACGTCTCATCTCACACTCTTGCTCGTTGTATCACGAGGCCTCATCTCTGTCCCGCAGAAAGAAAGTCAACTAACAGAACTGGCGAGAGCACCCCTTCCCATTTCAGCTTGCTCCTTCCTTCTACTCTGAAAAAGATCATCTCTCCTTTTCTATCCTCTACTTGCCTCGAATTACTCCCAGCTTTTTCATCATCGCCCACTCTCTCTTATACTCAACCAGTTTCGCTGCGAGCCAGATCGTATAGCAACTTTTACAAGCTCTCCAAAATCCTCTATTGCTCGCGTCCTTCGAGCTACTTCACTCAATTCAGTCATCATTTAGACTTCGGCATCAGTATGGACGAATTCTGCGTTCGTCTCCTCTCCTACTTCGACCGCGGCATGGACGGCAAGCCCGGCCGCTGGCCTCACTCGCTTCCCTCTCCCGAGGACATGGCAGGCGCTGGATATCGTTTCGAAGGCAACCGGGAAGTCGGAGGCGACATCGTCGTCTGCGATTTCTGTACCATGCAAGCGTGGGCGTGGGAGCGCAAGGACGATCCGTTCGCTCAACACATGGAGTCCAAGAGTTGTGAATACGTTGACAGCGAAGTGTTCCGAGACCATCACGACAAGTTCCTTCAGAAGCAGGGCGAGAACAAGAAGATGGACGACTTGATGCTCACGCCTCCTGCTACGCCAACCAAAAAGCCCTACAAGCCGCGCCGGAAGTTGCGCTTGTCCCCCATCGTGACTGTATTCGATAGCATGCCTACCGAGGAAGCCGACGCCAAGGCCGTCAATAATAGCAAGCCTGTCGAGATCGCGGTTTCTGCTGGAGAGACCAAGATCTTGATCAAGATTACTGATGGCGGCGAGCGTGGTAAGCTTCCAGTTCCTACTCCTACTCCTTCCTCTTTGCCTTGAAGCTAACAAGTCGGACAGCTGCCAAGAGAATCCGTCTCGAGTGAGCGGCCCTGCGCTCGACGTTCGTCCAAAGACAACATGGCTGTTACAGATGTGACTTTTACAAACATACTTGCTTCGAATACCCTCGTTCGTTCCATCTATTCCGACTTGCAAAACGCTCGGGAATGCTGACATTTCTTACCAGTTTTTCAGAGACTGCTACATTATCATTTTTGATCAGTGCGTGGACTAGCGAGGAAGAGTCTGTTCATGTGCCTTAGGGCAAGATACCGATATGGAAGGAAGGAACTACGAGATATGTACAAGAATTTGCCCAGATGCGCAAGCATGACGCTTGTGGACGAGTTTTTCAAGGGCAAGGCATTACGGCAATCGCCAAACATCGGCCATCGGCTGAGTTTGGACAGAGCTGTCAGAAGACTTGCACGAATGGTGGCGAGAGGGAATACATACCATCATCATGAGGCAGTAGTCTGTCTCTAGGTAGCCAACAGACATCTGTATCATTCACTCATCCAAACCTACGGTCTAAACAGGGTACATGACATGACAAACGCCGGTGGCAAATGTTCGACAGCCGCCTGTTGACCTTTTGCCTACCCGTGACATCGCAGAACAACTAGGTACTCCTCCAACTACAATCTTCTGGTAGACGAGTGAGACCAGCGCCCCAGCCGTCCACAGGTCTCACAGATCACATCCTTCCTCCTCATCGTCACAACCCGTTTCCAAAAGGCCTATGAGAGCGGAGTAATGGGTGGGCGATGCACGACAGTCAAGACATATCATAGCAAGTGCCGACTGGGAACACAGCACGCGGAGGATTGAACGGGGCCGAAGGGTTGTCGGTGTCCGCGGGCCGTGAGACATTAGCACAGAAACGTGGGTGTGTGACACACCAGCATACATCTACAGGCAGCCTCTGGCGAGGCTTACTTCAACGTATGCCTAGACATCCAGTTGCTTATCCTCTGCATGTGGTATCAAACTAGAGTGAGAGGATGAGCGAGTCCTCGTCATTGTGAGCGCAGTGACGCCCGCTATGAACCCGCGCCACAGCCATCAATCCCCCAACTGGAAATTCAATGTCGCGCTGTACCTGTTGCCGCAGAAGCGAGCCGCTCAAAGACTTTCCCTTCCAGACTGACCGGAGGATCCTTAACATACGCTGGGCGCAAAGGTGATGTTCTCCGTGGTCAGAAATGAGTCGAACTAGGCACTTGATCAGCGGGTGTGGTAGCCTTTAGGATCCGTGAGATGCCCCTAGTGGGTGTTCCTTAGGCAGCTCCCGGTCGGCTGCTCTCTGTATTGTGTTTGGTCAGCGGTTAAGTTTGCACGTTGTAGTAAGGTAGGTAGGTAGTATCAGCGGCCATCCGCAGCGGCGAGGCGGGTTCGTTCCATTTAGCTCAAGTTCCAGCGTAGGGCCAGGTGCAAACCGTACTACAAATGGAACGGCTGTCAGGCGGGCGGGCGGCGGTGCGCTGCGGGCTGTGCGGGAGCGCTCGTGATGGCCGCACCGCCGGGTGACAAGACGGGCGACTGACAGGGTCGACCAATGACCTTGGCGATGGGTGACAGCCGCCAAGATGTAGGCAGATTGTTTGTGAGATGAGGCAGCTTTTGCCCAGACGTATTTAATGAAGCAGAGGGGCTGCTCATGATGTGAATGCGAATGGGCTTTTGAGTATCGTGTGAACAAACCGAATATCAAAAACACAAGCACCAAAGCAAATCACGAGACCGAGACGAGAAGCTACAATGACGACTGTCAATCAATACCAGCGTAATGGCAGATCAGGCCGCCCGTCGGGACGCAATCCGCTCCGTACCGTCTGGCGCGAGACGTACGAGGTCTGGGATGGGGTCTGCTACGGCGTAGGCAAGGCCTATTTCAAGATCACCGGCAGATGGTGATATGCCGCGGGGCAGGCGACAGGGCCGGCAGACGTATGGATGCATCATCGCGTTCCAGTATAGCCCTGACGGCCCACCGAGTAGTGACGAATGACGAACAACACATGAGTAACGAGTAAACGAATAACGCGCCTAATGATTAACGACAAACGACAACCGGAGACGAGAAGATGAACGACGGAGCACCGGGGTGGAGGAATCAAGCATTTCGAGTATCCCGAGAGCAACATTAGGGAACCATAGGCTGGCATCGAGAAATGTTGACAGGAACCAACCATAATTCACCAGCCAATCCGACAAGGAAGGCCAGATTAGACCAGATTGAAAGAAACAACCCGCTTCGGCGAACAGCAAGATTGGCATCGACAACCCGCCCACCGATGACGTCGGGCCTGGGAAAATCTTGATCAGCGCCGCAGACTCTAGAACGCTGTGTCCATCTCTTGGCACTGTGACAGATAGTTCAGCTGGAGGCGGATTCAGTGGTTCCCCATCAACTTGACACGGATTTGAGGGGATCATCCTGCCAGAGTGGGCCCCTTCAAGGCTCAAGGTTTTGGTGACGCCGGGAGGGGAAGGGAGACAGTCGCTGGGCGGGCGAGCCGGGGGGAGATAGGTAACGAGGGTTTGCCCTTGGTTAGGAATGAGGATAAGGCGCGAGAATCCGAGGAAAGAATATCGAGAACGCGGGAGCTGCGGACATGGCGGACGGGGATCCCGCTGGGTGGCCGCGGGATGATAGCCGAGTGGGATGGTTGGCCGCCTTTTGCGATTTAGATCATCTGAATGGGTGTGAAACGGGGCGCGAGCGACACCGAAACGATCTTCTGTCGACTATCAACAAGAATAGTAGACGGATGCGGTACGGGAAGGAAATGCTTGGTTGGAGTTGCACTGCCGCAGACCACGTCGCATGGAATCCATAGAATAGAAGATCCGAATTTACAATCAGCAAGACTCTGGTGACTCTCGAATTCTGATAAACGGGTCACGTCTTCCGGTATCCGTACAGTACATTGTACCGATGAACGGGCCAAAGGGCCCATCCTCGGGGAGAAACGAGACGCAAGACAGGTGAAGAAAAAGCAAGCAAATCGTTTGTCCATCGTATTGGCTTTCTGCGCGGCGGCAGATGAACCAGTGTCGAGAAGCCCACATAAACCACAATTCTGTCGTTGGGAAATCGGGGCGGCGAGCATACGCAGTAAAAGTGATTCCAGATTGAGATTCGCACGACCGGGTTTGATGGTTTGATGCTGAGCCTTGAACCAATGCCAACAGCGCATCCGACATTCGGACCGGGCCCCTCTGGCTCCCTTCTGGAGACTCTGGATGTCTGGGCCGTTTAAGCCTGGCGCTAGGCCTAGAGTAAACAACTTAAGGTAGGCCATACCAAAAGAGAGTTAATTGGACTCCCGCTTCGCCAGTCCTATTTTTGTTGCTCTTGCAAGTTGGCAACTGACGAGTATTAGGTGGCCATACGGATACATACACGCTGCCAGTATGGATGCTGCCAGCACCGAGACAGTACTGGAAAACCCCGTCGACTCAGGGAACATGGCGGTTAGCGCTGACTGCACTGCTGGTCGGAACTAAAGGCCTTCACTGTGTAGAAGTAGCACACCCACACAGCCTGTAGGTGTGCCTCCAAGCCTCGTATTGGCGGCGATATGAAAGTTTCGCCTCTGGGGCTGTGGTTGACAGTTTGTCGATGCGCTGCTTCATCGTCAATTCGGAGAATTCGGTCGGCCCCCGTCCGTCCCGAGCTGGTGGTGAAGCTGTCCGTCATGCGTTGGCTAGCTCAGCTTGATTTGCATTTGCTCAGCAGTGAGGCATCCGTCAAGCAAGGATACGAGCAGATTGCGCAGCGCTTTGTCATGGGACAACCGCCAGAAACATCGGTCCGTCTGGGTTCGAGTGCTGCGAGACAGCAACAGCCGAGCGCTGCAAGCCTGATGGATCATGAATGGATGGTGTGGGATGACTGGGAGAACAGACGAATAGTGGGATGATTGGCCTGAAGGTCTGGACCGCCGCTGCAGTCAGACTGTGTACAGAGTACTTCCGTCGACGTGGACGCATCTGCTGGGAGCCTGGCTCTCTGGGTTGTTCTGCTCCTGCATTGCACAGAGTATTGAATTACCCATTGTAACATTATCTGTGGTTCTCACTGGAGATTTGGGCCTTTGGCGAGTGACACCTTGGAGGCTGATATTGACAGTCGAGTTGGCCACGGTGGAGATAACAAGAAAACCATGCCGGAAGTTGATTGCAGTGCTGCCAACAAGGAGATGTATCCGTATGTGGCAGATGAGGATGAAAAATTCTTTCAGATCGCTGCCGTGTTCACCCCAAGCATGTTGGATTGGGCTGGGCAGAGTCGGTGGGAGCTTGCCATGGCAGACCTGAGGGAGAAGAGCGCGCTGGGCAGTGGCTGGGCGAAGGGGAACCTGTGAAGTGAAATTGACTTTCTGTCTGGTTATGCGCCGCGGGACTTGACAGCGGGATGTGATGGGAACTCGATAGTGAGGCGCAGAGGACGGACGACAAGAAATGCCAATGCTGAGAGGTGAATGACCTCTTGGCAATCCAGGTGGAAGGGTTCTTGGTTTATCTGTTGAGGCCAAAGATGGCGATGTTTGACGCTTGGCGGCACACGATAGCCTCCAATTCTGTTCGTCTACTACGTAGAACCTACTTCGTAGAGGCTAGAGCATCTCGGCGTCTTGGTGGAGGGGTTCACTGGTTCTGGTAGGCCGGTGCGTTGGTGCACACCCACGAGCTATGAGCCTGTGATGGACCAGACGAGGGGCGGCGGCTGGGTTGTGAGAAGATGAGCCCGGCGTCCGCAAGTCCCGGTCTGGAAGGTCAGCCGGTTCTCCAGGCCGAAGCTCACCTTGAGTGGAGATTGCCCCTATTTCTCGCTATTTCACTAACGGCCTTGGTGGATGAGGCGGTGGACCGTGGCCCCAGCGGCTACAGTGTGAACTGGGGGCGTGGTAATGGTGCCCTGGTGCCCTGGTGCAGTGTGTTTGTGTTGGTTCGAGATGGCGTCGAAAGGAGAGTCGTCAAGGAGAGATGCAGTGAAGATGAAGCTATAACAGCTTTAGGTGGTAGATTCCTGAAAAGACGTTAGTGCTTCATCGGACGTCATAGGGTGATTTGGATGGGCCTCTGTCCACACTGTGCCAAGTCTCTCACAACCTTGAAACGAGATGAACATGGCCCAGGCGGTTCCCGGCGTGCATCCAGGGTACGTATCTTGTCGCTCGCCTCTCTCGTCTCTCTTCCTCTTCTTTCGCGCGGAGAAGAAGGTTCTTCGGTAATAAGACATTCCTCAAGTACGGAGTACTACGTAAGGTAAGGTAGGTTCGGTTGGCAGATGCATGTTGAGTGCAAGTGCTAATTTGGCACATGTGCAGGTACCTCGTGATTCAATAGTGTCGCGCAGTGGCTTCAGGTATCCGTACCGTCGCATCTTTCTCTTTCGCTCGTCTCGTCCAAAAGAATGGAAATGAAGATGCAGGCAGGCAATGTATGAATGGTGCTAAGACGGCTGCGCCTCGCTCTCGCGCCGGCTATTCGCGTCTGCGGTATTGTTGTCTGAATGTGTGTGCTAATGGTGTATCCAATAAGCGGCATCAATTGCTGAATGTAGAGATGCACGTATTGGTGTTTGGTACGATGAGACGGTAGCGCACGTATGTACGGAGTATTCACGAGGGGATCCAATTTGCGCATCGAATACGGGGATGATTGCTCAATGAATTGGAAGGGAGCGAAATTAGATGAATGCTGAACAGTGGACGGTCACAAGAAAAAAGAGTAAAAAATACCAAGAGATTAGAGAGGAGGAGTGGAGGAAAGAGACTTTGGGAGGAGGGCAAGGGGGGGGGAGGATTGGAGGAAGCAAGAGGAAGCAACAGGCTAGCAGAAGAAGCTTGCCAGTAAGGATAAACCGAAAGGGGTCACCCCTGCCCCTCCTTCACTCTTGCCCCTGGGGGTTATCCATGACCCCGGTCCTTCCTTCCCTGTCTGTTCAAGGTACCTTTTTTACGCCTTCCGCGCCGTTGCTTCCTGCCTTCTCAACGCCGTGGTGGTCTAGCCGGTGCCTGCCTCACCATTGCACCAGTCGATCCTCTGTGTCTTCCTTCCACAGTCCACTCCTTCCACTGTACGCAGTACGCAGCAATTGCAGGCAGGTTCAGTTCTCTTGCTCTTTCCCATTCTTTAGAAGAGATAGGTACCTACCTTACCTTACGTACATCCACAAGTACTCAGGTACATGGATACTTGAAGCAAGTACCTACCTCACTTCGTACCCGGTGGGGCTTAACCACACATTCCAGGGCGTGTTTCTGCTTTTCTACCTCGCGCCTCCCTCCCGTCACAGAATCTCTGACTTCTTGATTCTCCTTTCTCCTCTCCGTGTTTCCTCCAAACCCGTCCACTCCCTCACTTGCTATCCGCAATCGTTTCTTCTTGTAGGGGAATTCATTAGACAAGGCCCTATTCATCCTTTTTTGAATGTGTCACTGTCTCTGAAACCCTATTCTTTTAATCAACAACAAACCACTTCGCACTCTCGTTAGCTCAACCAATTATTTCTACCTTTTTCAGACCGTTTGGATCGGATATTCAGGAAAGACAAAAACAACTAAACGTCACTTCCCACTTCCCGACAACAACCTCGACGACAAGCCCGTCAGAGAAGATCCTCCAGACCACACGTACCGAACACTCACAAATCACACAACACAACCATCACAATGGGCAAGGTCGCCGCCGCCGTTTCCGCGGCTCTGCTGCTTGCCAGCAACGCCGCTGCTCTCGACCCTATCGTCATGAAGGTATGATGCCATCACACACCCCCACCAAGCCTGACATGCATCACTAACAAATCAAAACAGGGCTCCAAGTTCTTCTACGAGAACGGCACCCAGTTCTACATGAAGGGTATCGCCTACCAGCAGGACACCGCCGCCGCCGGTGGTGAGTCCAAGACTGGCGACTACAACGATCCCCTCGCAGACGAGACTGCTTGCAAGCGTGACGTTCCTATCATGGTGAAGGCCGGCACCAACACCATCCGAACCTACGCCATTGACCCCAAGAACAACCACGACGCCTGCATGAAGCTTCTCAGCGACGCCGGCATCTACGTCGTCTCCGACTTGGGTGAGCCCAAGCTCTCCATCAACCGTGACAACGCCCAGTGGAACACCGAGCTCCTCGACCGCTACACTGCCGTTATCGATGCCCTCGCCAAGTACGACAACACCATCGGTTTCTTCGCCGGTAATGAGGTCTCCAACAACAAGACCAACACCGAGGCTTCCGCCTTCGTCAAGGCTGCCGTTCGTGACTCCAAGAAGCACATCAAGGACAAGGGTTACCGCTGGATGGGTGTTGGCTACGCCGCCAACGACGACGCTGACATTCGCACCAACTCGGCCCACTACTTCAACTGCGGTGACCAGGAGACCGCCATTGACTTCTGGGGTTACAACATCTACTCGTGGTGCGGTAAGAACACCCTCGCCGGTGCCGGTTACACCACCCAGATCGACTTCTTCAAGAACTACTCCGTCCCCGTCTTCTTCGCCGAGTACGGCTGCAACATCCCCGACGGTGCCGATGGCCGTATCTTCCAGGAGACCACCGCTCTGTACGAGAAGGAGATGACTGACGTCTTCTCTGGTGGTATCGTCTACATGTATCACCAGGAGGCCAACGACTACGGTCTCGTCGAGATCAACAACGGTGTCGCCAAGACCATGAAGAACTACGACCAGCTCGCTTCCCGTGTTCTTGCTGCCACCCCCGCTGCCGTTCAGATGGCCTCTTACTCGCCCACCAACAAGGCCGCTGAGTGCCCTGGCACCTCCTCCACCTGGGAGGTTCACGGCGATGCCCTTCCCCCCACCCCTGACAGTTCTCTCTGCGAGTGTATGGTCAAGTCTCTTTCTTGCACCCCCAAGGATGGCCTGAAGGCTTCTGCCATTGGCGAGATCTTCGGCTACATCTGCGGTGCCTCCCCCGACTCTTGCCGCGGTATCAACACCAACACCACCACCGGTGTCTACGGCGCCTACTCCATGTGCACTGACGAGCAGAAGCTCGCCTTCGTCATGGACACCTACTACAAGGCCCAGAAGTCCGCCAGCACTGCTTGCAACTACGATGGCCAGGGCCAGGTTGTTACCCCCTCCTCCACCGACAGCTCTTGCAGCTCCGCCCTTGCCTCCGCTTCTGCCGCCAACAGCGCTGCTGCCACCGCCACCGCTCCCGTCTCCTCCACTGCCAACCCCAGCTCCAGCTCTTCTGGCAACGCTGCTGCCGGCAGCCCCTACCAGCCCATGTTCAACTTCGGCGGTTTTGCCATCGGCGCCTACATTGTCGCCGCCGGTGCCGTCGGTGCTGCCATGGTTGCTCTGTAAACGGTCTCTTCATCTAATGATGTGTTGAGGTGGAAAAAATGGGTGTGCCCAGGATTAGGGCGATATACATTTATGCGAGCGTGTAGGATATCCAACGCAGGTTACCATGGTGCCTCGTTTAATACAGTCACGACTCGACAGATTTTTTACTAGCATGAGGCTCTTTTGTGTTTCTCACCATCACATGGCGTTGGGTCTTCACTGGCAGCAGCTATTCTGCTTCATGACTGGCCGACAGAGGTCAATGTTGTTTTCTAGTGTCTTTTGGTTCGATGAATAGAACTTTTTCTTTTTGTTCATATCGATTGCCCTGATTGGACCTTGTGAATGTATGAGTGTACATATATCATGACTTGGCAGTGATCTCAGCCACCATCTAGCCGTTGCTCTTGCCTTGGCAACCTAGGCGTCATTTACCTAAGATTCTTGCCCAGCACTTGGCAGGACTCTCGGACATGGTGAAATATCTACGGACGCTGTTACTGAAGCGGTGAAGATGGTACACATGGTTGCCAAGATCGCAGCTTAATAGTCTACCTGCCTCTTGATCCCTTGTAGGATATTTCAATGACGATCCCGAGCCCTCTCGAAGTTATGGATCCCGTGGTTGAGAAGTAGTCCCGAAACTTGCACACCGCGACATCAATTGGTTCTCACGATGGCCCCCGTTACCCCATTTTTCCATTGCTCCCGGAAATTTCAAAAGAGATACGCACGCGAGTAAAGATCTCTTTCTTCCTCGGCGAATCTATGTCTATTGTCTCTGCCGTATCCGTATGCAAGTATGTGTTCTCTAAGCAGACGAATCGGGAGAGTCTCGCATTTTGTTGCATATTCCAATGTCTACCATGGCAGCCATGGTTTCAGCTGTCTCATCTGATGTGTAGTTTCTCGACTAGCAGTAGCTAATTTCATTGAAAGGCTCAAGATACTGTCGACGAGGTGCGCATCTGACTCTTGGCCTCCTCTGAAGCTGCTTGCCATAAGGACAGAGTCTTCAGCCTTGAAAACGTTTC